ATATTTCATCAAAATCATTTCATAATTAATTCCTGGTACACAAAATATTCCTGGATTTGTTGATGAAGCAATATAATAATAATCATGAGCTTAAATCATAAACTTATTTGCAGTCGGTTACACATAATATAATTACTTGGAATTTCTTCTCATCACAAGTCCGTTGCTTTCTTACTTATTTAATTATATTATTAATTGCATTGTGATTAATAATTTACAGATTTTTCTTCTGCTTTTTTCTCTTATTTTTACTTGCATTATTATTTTATACAGTAAAATGTTCATATATATATATATATATATATTTCTTATTCTTTTGAACTCCTGTTCTTTACAGTAAAAATGTTATTTATCTTCATCTGAATGACTAGGAGATTTAGAATATCATCTCTTATTTGTTTAAACTTTGTTCAGTATTAAGTTGTTGATGTCAGGAAAATCTGAAAACAATATCATATACCATGTTACATTTTCATGAACTTACATGAATGAATTTACATGAAAGTAACTAAACTGTAACCTTATTAGTACAATAAACATATTATTCATACATCATATTCATTCAGTTCTAATAAAATATAAAAATAATACTACTGTTTAGTACTTTATTTTGATTAATAATTTTCAGTATTTTCTCAATCAATCAAAAATTATAAAATCAGTGTTAGTTTTTTGAAGTTACATTAATAACAATAATAAAAACATAATAATACCACATTAAAGCGGTCACCAAGTACCTATGTTTATTATATTTTAATATGAAAGATACACACGCATACATATGCAAGTTTTTAACAACTTATAGTTATACCTGGTATGAGATAATCCTCAAAGACACGATAGTTTACTAAATATTTGTAGTAGTCCTTAGACACATTTAAATTATTGAGTTTGACAAAAAAATAAGAAGTTCAATGAACTCTGAACAGGGACAATTCAAAAGTTGAAGTACCTACTTAACTTAAATGATGAAAAAAGAGAAAAAATCCAATGCTAGTGAAAATATGTTTTAAGCATTTGACTTAAAGTCGTTTATCCTATTCTTTTATTCCTATATTTTATATTTTTAACATTTCATTTATGTTGCCAGTACTCGTTGTCATTTCGATATAATAAAAAAATATGGACCAACCTACGATTTTAAATCGATATTTTTATTTGTGATGAAATCTAATAATATAAATTATTAATAACCTACCCTTGAATGGAGATATTAAAAAACTAATTATCATGAATAGTAGGTACTAGGATCAGTAATATATCATAGTATTATGAATGATTATCGTTTCAAAACCTTGTACAATTTAGTAAGGTTGAAAATATTCTTCTACAAAAGCAAAATTCGAGTATTTGTAAAGTTTCTTATGAGTATTTTTAAAAATTCGAGGATCCTCATATTTAGCTATCAATGTCAGTAATTTAGATACCATATAACACTTGTTTATTGAGGTTTCATAAAGGTATAGCTGACCTTATATACTCTATACCACATTCAATTCTCATTCATTAAATTACAATAAGTAGGTATTTATTTTTTTAATAGAAGAACTATGTCACTAATGTCATTAATTGCTATAATTACCAGGGTGACCGCGTGGAGGTTGATATAATAGAGTACACTTGTATCAGATCAATCTAATTAATATTTCCCTCTTCAAGTTTCGAAGTTATGAGCGAACAGATAAATATATAGTACTTGCATACCTGTCAAAATCTCTCTATTTTGCCGTCGTCAAGTAAAAATTATGCATTGCAATTCGTTCCAAATAAGAGTATAATACAAAATGATGAAATTTTACTGTTTGCAAAGACTAATTAAAAGCACCATCGAATAATGCGTTGTAATATCCTGTTATCGATTATTCGAAAAAATCGATAAATCTATGCATTTATTTTTAATATGGCAACACTTTCTAAATAAGTATTACTGGAATAATATGGTTTTCTTGTTTAGCTGTTTTATATTTACTTAAACTTTTTTATGTTTAATTTATCATAATAATATAGTAAGTACTTATTATTTGAAAATATAAAATAAACATTTAAAATATGGTGATACAAATGAAAACAGCGCCATCTATGAAAGTATTTTGGAAACAATAAGCCCCAATTAGCAATGATTAAATTGTAAACAAATACAGGGCAACAACAAAATGAGTAAATATATGAAAATTACTTTTCAAAACGCATTATTTCATTTTAACATCTATATATGACTTTTTAAAAATAGATACCTTTTTAAAAACATAGTGTTGGGTTTTAAACGATTACAAAACTATGTTGAATTCCATTCGATACCAATGACGCCATCTAAATCCGTTTTTCGAACTAAAAATGGCTACTATGCCATTGATCCCCACTGGCTATAACATACACTAGGTCGGTAGGTAGGTTTTCTCATTTTGTTCACTGATCTTTGCTGTTTTTATATATATCTACTAGTTGAGGAATAAAAGTAAGTACTAATATATGGTGGTAATAATATATTTTATTGTAATTTGCAGGAAACCGTGATATTCAAATTCATCAGAGATCTGAGGAGTAAAATGTCTGGTATTCTTGGGATGCCATTAATTATTCAAGAAAACAGGAATTATGCTCCCAGTACATCACGACAAGTAAATTATTATTATTATTATTTATTCAATTATGTTGTGAATTTTCAGAGATTTGCCCATGCATTTTGCCTACGTTCTTTGGGGTCTGTTTATGACAATGGAATGGTGATCACTCCTGGGCTAATGGTACAGCTTTCCAGAAAGAGATTAGTTACTTTTTCTTTCGGACTACACTAATGCTGTTGGCCGCAACTGGTCTTTATCTTCACTGGACGATAGGGGGCGAGTGCAAATGGCATTACAAAACCGCGGAAGGACTTATGGAGCGGCTGATGGCCAAGTTCCGCCTGACGGATACGACTGCTTCGAACCTTAGCTCAGACCGTCATAATTTCGATCTCAGTTTGAATTGGAAAGGGGCGATCGATCGGAGGTTGGGTATTACTGTTAAAAAATCAGTGTACTAACTCTTGGATACAGAATGCTATTATTTTATTTTACCTATATTGTATACTATTCACAATTGTATGCGTTATGATCACAGTACCTAAAATTTTAAAAAGTAGTAGGATACAGCTAGTGTACGATTAAATGAAAAATCTTTCTTTACTTTTATATCTAATTAGAGTTTCTAAAATTTTTATATACTTTTAAGGAGAACAATGAGAGCCTTGTGGAAACTCAAGAAGTAAGTTTATGCACTCCAACACAAGCGTGTCCATGGAGTACTTATAATAAATACTAATTAACTTTTGATAGTATTTTTGAATAGTTAGTTTAATTGAAACGCAGTTGTACATTTAATTAATTTATTATTTTTCATTTTATTGTCTTGAACACTGAGCACTGCAATTATATGAGAACAATATTCGTTATAGTAATTAACATGTCAATATTGTAAGTACCTATAATTAAAAATAAACTTATAATACATTGTCAATATTATTTTTTTGCTAGGAATGTAGATTACAGAAGTAGGACAAAATAATGTACAGTTTTACGAATATAATGCGGCTTAGTGCACATTCACAAAGTGGTCGTTATAATTATCGCTATGAAGAATAGGTATAATGTATAATATATCTATGTAATGATTTCTTAATTATGAGTCAAATTTAAAATGTGTGTGTAAATAGGATATATGAACTCTAGATGTGATTTCATACGGTACCTATTTAATTAAATTGTGTCATAATTAGATATATTAGTTTCATAAAATATTTTTGTTTTACCACAAACTTGTACCATATTCTAGTAAATTCTATTAATTAGAACATAGACTTTGCAAATGTGTAATACAATAAAGTCTTACTAATGTAATCTATTTACCTATCGTAACCCGTTAGTGTAGTCTAATATCCACCCACCACCTGTTGTCAATATCGGTAGGTACAACCTAATCGTCTTATGTGTAAAAATAACGTTAAAAACGTAAGAAAACATTTTAACAAATTTACTTTTTTGTGTCACTTATCACTATGAAAACAATAGCTTGAATTAAAGTAAAAATTGGACGATAGCTAAATGAACTGTAACTAGACACACGTCAATGCTAAATAATTATGAAGGTAGCGACTGTTAGTAATATGAAAACAGTTGACACTGTTCCTACAGTTACATTTTATTTTCTATAACAATCTACATAAAAATAAATATATTTCGTTAAGATATTTTGTATAGGCATAGAGGTAGGTATAATGATGAAGTTTCAAATAAATCTATGTTTACATACAATTAGTTTTAAAAAAGACATTAATGTCTTTTTTAAAACTGATGGCTCGTCTTATGTAGTGTAAAGAGCTAATGAGACATAAACAGTACGTACGACGGACATCACTAAAATGAGCAGGCTCTGATACTCGTCAAACCCATTCAAGTTGAATTTCCGAATAATTTTTTTGCGTTACGAAAAAGACATTGTTTCTATGAAATATCTTAGTCCTAAATAACAATATCGTAATTCACACTAACCAAATAATATTTAAATAAAAGTTCTACTTTGTACAAAGTTTGCTTCTGGCGTCAAGTATGTAGGATGATAAGAAGATTTTGAAGAAATACAGAGTAGAATTGAAAATAATACCACTGCCTTATGTTTAAGATGTATGTATGAATATATTTATATCTTCACAACGATGAATTTGTGTATAAAAAGCTTCGTAAGAGACATAGATCTCGTTATAATCCTATATATTTGGTAGAGTAATATTGTTATAGTTCATAAAAACATTAACAATTGGAGTTTGGAGAATCGAATAGATGAAATATTTACAGTTTTAGGATTCTATCACAAATTAATAATGTGTACTTACTACTATGTTTGTCATAATAATTTTATTTACCTAATTATACTATTCCAGTTTTTAATATAATTTTCTCAAATAGAAACTAAATAGCTAGATATATAAAATTAGATTTTTTCATGTATATAATTTTCTATAGCTATTTTACAAAGGGATCTTGCAATTAATTTATGTTTATCATTCGACAGTTGGCGAAGAAGTAACTAAGTTATTTCTTGGTGGAGTCAATGATGTTTGTGCTGCTGTTTGATGAAAAAATCTAGCAACAGATGGCGATAAATTGCTAACTTGTTGCGATTGCTGTAAAGCTATTAAATTTCCTGTATCCTGAAATGAATAATAGATAGATATATGTTTTGTTATATATTTAGAACTTATACCATATATACAACCAAAAAGAATAATCACATCGTACGTAGGTAAAATAAGGTTTAAAGAGAAATTTTTAAATTCTACATATGTACTTATATTTTATAAAGATTAGTGTGAAATTAACTAAGAAAAATCACAAATACCAAGTTATTAAGAATATAATTAATAATAAAATAAATCAGTTGTAGGAACTAGATCAGACGAGACCCTACAAACTGCAATAATTCACGAATATGACGACTATAATTGTGTAGAAACATATTTAAGAAAGCGCAATATAACACTCTTTCATGCATCCATGTAAAATGGTTGCATGTGGACCTTATCCATACACTTCGGTGAACATCATCATATATAGGTATTATAATATTATTTCTATAGCTCTATTTATAATCCTCGACTACAACTACTTAACATTATTTATTGCTACTAGCTTTTATCCATAAGCTTATTGGGATAAAGGATAGTCTATATTCGTAATAATAATAATAATAATGCAGCATATTTTCCTGTCTTTCTTTAAGTAAGATCCCTTCTAGTTGGTTAAATAGGTAACAAACAGAAAGACATACCTACATTCTTTCACTTTAATAATATTAGTTTTTATATAAATGTAAATTTACCGGTCTACTCTGCCTTGAAATTCTTGGTGAGGTTACTGGTGTGCGCACGTTTAGATAATTATTTGTAAATGGCGCAGTATTTAATAGACACTGAAGTTTGTATCCTTTTGCCAAATCTTCAACAGTTTTACCTATAAAAATAAAAATGTGAAAAATATAGGTATATTAGGCCTAAATATTTCGGTTTTACGCAACATTAGACGAAACCTAAATACCGTACACTTTTTTTATGAATAGCCGTAAAGAACAGCTGTGACAAAGACAAAAGACCAATATTCTGGAATGGTGATCCCACAGTAAGTATAGTTTGGGGACATATAGTCAGATTAGTCAGTGTATCATCTGTTGTTAATCGTGGTGAATTTACCACAATCTACGGAGAACCGCGTGGAGGTCAACCTGACATGTAGTTTTGTAGTACAGGTTTGTAATCTTACTTCAGCATCAAATGTCAACTGTCAAAAAATGATTTATTTTTTTATATAATTGAAGTAGACTATAAAAAGTAGTTTGTATGGATACCTTAGTCTAGCCTATTTTATAAATATATAAGACAATGAAATTTTAGGATATTAGTCATGACATTATAGTTTTCCAGAATGGTTATATATGAGTGGTATATCACAATCGTCACATGATAACATAATGTCCGTTTGCCTATGCTATTCATGGCAATAGTTACGCCAGCTTGTTTGCTATTCCATTTCCTTTTAAAATATAATTGAGGTATTAAATTACTTATAATATTCTAACGTACCTACAAATGTACCCACTTGTATATAGATGAGGTGTACCTACCAAACGGTGCCATTTCTGGCATTCAAGTAAGTATACTTATACAAAATACTTTGGTAAACCTTTAACTATCAATACCGTTTAATACATGATGAAATTAAGTCAAGTTTTATATAACAATATTAGAACTGAATTACCTGTTAAAGTTGTAGGTATATTAGTATTACATCGACCAGTTTCTAATATTTTCTTGAGTGCTGTTACATTTTGAAAAATTATTGCTACAGCGGCACCATCTGCCAACTGAGAAGAATCACAACAAGACAATAAAAAAGACCAACTATCGCTTTCCCATTCGTGACTAGAGTATACAGCCAATTGCAATGTTGATGCACCTAAAAATTACATAATAATTTTAATAGATTGTAGTAATAAAACAAAGACTGATATTAAGAAACTCACCAGAAGCACTTAATAAGTGAGGGTTTGCTCCATGCTGTAGTAGTAGTTTAACAATGGAATATCGTCCATGACGTGCGGCTAATCTAATTGGCCAACCACCTTCTAAATTTGGGTCAAATCCACAATTGAGTATTTCAATGATTTCACTTTCATTATTATTAATAATACAATTTCTAAATACATAATTACTTCTTTCCATAATAATAAAATATATCAAATAATAATAAAAACTGTAACTAAGTGTTAGCTATATGTTGAGCGCCACCCCAATAGAAGTACGTAACTAACACAAATAAATTTATATACTTACCTACATAAACTTTACTATACTTTAAAATATATGAAGGTAGAATTTAAAGTATAGTAAAATTTATGTAGGTAAGTATATAAATTTATGAAGATAAATCAATAAATGTACCTTGTAGATATAATAAAATTCTTTGTCTACTTGTGTTATTTTCGAACACTTAAGTAGACATAGAATTTTATTATATCTACAAGGTACATTTTTTGATTTATCTTACAATTATATTAAATAAATCAATAATTACTTCTGGAGAATTCACGGATTGGAAATTGTGAAGAAGTATACATACTTCTTAGCGAGTTGTTACTTAGCAACAAACATTATAAATACTCATTATTCTATGTATAAAAATTATCTCAATGAAAAATAGTGTCTTTTAAGCTTTTTAATATATTTTTTATAAATAACAAAACATTCCACTGCGCTCAATCCTGATTTACTTAATATTGTAGCAGAGCGATAAACAGTAACGATTTTATGAGAATTTATGAGACTATAATTATTATGTTAATTATGATGTTATACAGTCTGTCGTCAGAATATGACAATTTCAGAGTCGCTATCGAATCACGCGATATACTTCCAAAGCCTGATGTACTTAAAACGAAAATAGTAGAAGAATGTGAAGCACGTCACCATCAAATTACAAATAATAATGAACCTGAATGTTCTTTTAATGAACAAGCATATTATGTTTCCTGTAATATTTTTAAACGAAAGGGGAACATTTTTAAACGCAAACGTCACAAAATTTATACAAATTGCTGGAAGAAAAATAATGAGAGTAAGCTCAATAAACTTAATAATAGTTATCAAAAAACAAACTATGCTATGCAGTGCCTTCTTGCATAATAAGAAGCCTGAAGACAGCATATGGGTTTTAGACAGTGGCTGTTCATCTCATATTACTTATCAACGTGATCTTTTTAAGATTTTAGAAAAAGCCTCCAAGAAATTAAACTTTGCGACAGCAGAACTCACTGCTGATATTAAAGGAAAAGGCACAGTAACCTTTTTATCTAAGAATGGTAAGAATTATGCAGTTACTAACTTGCAAAACACGCTGTATGTACCAAGCCTGTGTACTAATTTAATGCCAGTTAGCAAGATGACAGATGCTTGTTGCTCTGTTGTATTTAATAAGAATATATATTAATTATGAAACTTCAGCAAACAATAGTGTGTACTGATTCCAGAAGTGCACTGTTAGCTCTTCAAAAATTTCCATTTAAATCAAATATTAATTATCCTATTATCATAGAAATCAGAAAATTGCTGCAGTTATGTAACTCGCGGGGGTTCTCTGTCTCGCTTACGTGGATTCCAGGACATACTGGCATACATGGGAATGAGATAGCAGATCGCTTAGCGAACGAGGCAATTGGATGCGGTGATATTGTTCCATATAAAAATTATTGTCATGATCTGGCTGCTCTCCCAGGATTATATCTACATAATGCTTGGAGTGAATTTTGGCCTAATAGCTGCCAGAATAAGGCACGATATTATTTTAACATTCAACCAACTATTCAGTTTAAACCTTGGTTCTTCAAAATTAATTTGAACAAAAGCGAGACTACGTCAATAATTAGGATGAGATTGGGGCATGTATGCTCTCCTGCACATCTAGCTAAGCTAAAAATTGTAGATAATGATATATGTAGCTGTGGTACAGAAGTGGGTGACTTGAACCATATCATTTTCAGTTGTCCTCTGTATGATCATTCCTACCTTTTTAATAATCTCCTATCTCACCGAATTCCTTTACCTACATCAATTCCAATTTTATTATATCTTAATGATATTGATGTGTATAAAAGTATTTCGATTTTTCTAAGTAGTAATAATATAAAATTGTAAATATAAAACTGACTGCCTCTATATAAATATATCATATGTAAATAGTTGTCTGTTAATATATTAAGGTCTTATATAAGTATAATGACATATTGTATATAATTAATATGTATAGTGTAGTACCTTAGTCTAATCCTTATAATTAATCCTATTGTCAACTTACCTGATCCTTTAAACCTATCGTCCAAAATTTCCTTTACCTGAACTACTGTTTCCCAAATTTTGTATATTGGCAAATGCACAGACGTGCCAAGCCATAAAGAAGAAAAAAAAAAAAAAGCAACAGTTAATAATCCTAAAGATGGAATAACTATCACGGCATTCAAACATGAAGATGGTCTGAATGATGGTTCTGTCGAAAGGTACAAAACCTATTAATCAAGATCGCAACAATCTGGTCGATGATAATGATGACAATGTTTCAAGCAATACTAAAAAGGAAACATCATCAAAAATCTGTGAGTGGCACAGAAAACTTGGCCACATGAATGCCAAGGATCTTAAATTTGCACTTACAAATAAAAGTTAATAGGCTTAAACTTCGATACTTCTGAAATGCTGAATGATTGTGAAACTTGCATCCAAGCAAAACTTCATCGAGTACCTGCTCCTCGTGAGAAAACGACATTACATATTACAAAACGTCTGGAAATCGTTCACAGCGATGTATGCGGTCCAATAAGGATCCCTACAGTAAGTGGAAAGAAGTACTTTGTTACGTTTATTGACGACTACAGTAGATATAGTAGAGTCCACATAATTAAAAACAAGAGCGAAGTCTTTGAAAAGTTTAAAGAGTATAAAGAATTAGCAGAAACACACACTGGAAATAAAATCAAGTTCTTACAGTCCGATAATGGCACTGAATATGTAAATAAAGAGATTGATACTTTTCTAAAACGATGTGGTATACAACGAAGGCTGACGGCACCTTATACTCCAAACCAAAACGGTGTAGCTGAAAGGAAAAATTGTACACTTGTGGAAAAAGCAAGAGCAATGATGATTGATGGAAATACACCTTTAAATCTTTGGGGTGAAGCTCTAGTTACAGCAAACTATCTATCTAATAGGAGTATTAATAGCGCTATTGAGAACTGTTGCGGGTAAATTATAAGATGTTGCTGGTCGAGACGATGTATATTACAGATGATGATAAACTGACAATGTGTACATAGAAATAATGATCTTATATACTAAATAAAAGTAGGAAAATGTAAGGTGGGGTGACACAGTTTAGATACAGCAGTGCCTAGTAGACAATATTGAATTTGTCTTACTAGACATTATTAAATGCAATTATTATTTTGATGTATCTAGGTGACTGTGTCCCATAAGAACCAAACTCCATTTGAACGGTGGGTTGGAAGAATACCATGCATTAATCATTTGTACGTGTTCGGCTGCAAGATTTTTGTTCTTCTCAAAGGTATTAATGGTCACAAATTTGCACCCAAAGCAATACCTGGTATGTTCGCAGAATACTCTGAAACATGCAAAGCATTTAGAATATTCATACTTTCGAAAAACAAAATACTTACTTCAAAAGATATTAAAGTCATGAAGATCATGTTCTATGATAAATCAAATAATAAAGAAGTCCTTGGTATTAATGGTATTAACAAACCTGAATTGAAAAATGAACACCGTCAACAAACTTCATTTCAAGAAACACCTCGTAAACAAATTAGTATTAAACTTGATGGAGTTGACGAGGTAGAATTTCAACAATCAGAAACGGTTGATGGGGACGATAATGAATTGTTGCAAGAAAATTTAATTAATAGTACTAATAGTAATGATAACTATCAATTACTGGAATATGAAATTAATGAAGGTAAGATATATCTACTAATAATTCATTTGATGAAGATGAATCAGAATTGTCAGAAAACGTTATACAAACAAGATCTTTACGAGACAGATCAAATATACCTAAATCTTCCTAAGCGTTATAATAATTTCATTATGGCCGCAGTTGAAGATATTGAAAACAAACCCAAAGAACCTGTAACATTTAAAGAAGCAATTCAGTCATCAGATAGGGAAAAACGGCAAGAAGCTATGTTGAGTGAAATAATGTCACTTGAACAGAATGAAACCTGAGATTTGGTGGATCTACCTAAAGGTCGAAAAGCCTTACCCTGCAAATGGGTTTACAAAATAAAAATGAACGCTGCTGGTTCTGTCGAAAGGTACAAAGCCAGAATGGTGATCTATTCCCTGGAAACCTGGTCTAGATTATGGCAAAATATTTAGTAGTAGTAGTTCGTCTGAGCACAGTCAGAAAACTTTTAGCCATAGCTGCTCAGGAAAATCTGAAACTATATCAGTTTGATGTATTTACTGCCTTTTTAAACGGTACAGTAAGCGAACAGCTATATATGAAACAGCCAGAAGGCACGAAGAGAAGACACCAAGATGGTACAAAGAGAGTCTGTAAACTAAAGCGCAGCCTCTATGGGTTAAAACAAGATCTATGTCAAAATGCGTATTTAAAGAAAGTTTTGTACTCTCTTTTTTGTCTTTTTTCTTGTTTTGACATTATTTATCTCTAATTTTCTTGAAACTAGCCCAATTGCATACGCTATATCAGGGCGTGTGCCTGTCATTAGATATGCAAGTGCACCTACAGCTTCTCGATATGGGAACTTTTTCTCTTCAGGATCTCCAACTTTCCCTGTTTCAGAAGTCCTATCGATAGGTGTTGAGATTGGGTTGCATTCAGACATCCAGAACCTATCTAAAGTCTTCTTAGCATAACATTCCTGATTGATGAATACTGAACCATCTTTCAACCTTCAATTTCCAAACCCAGATAGTAGCTTGCTGTTTTGCTTGTTATTTTTAGCGTCTGCCCTAATTCTTTAAGGAATTGGTCCGCCAAGGCTTTGTCTGTAATGGCGACAAGGCCGTCGTTCACATACAAAGTTATTAATATTTTCTTGTCTTTCACTTTCTTTGTGAAAAGACAACAATCGGCACTATTCTGTATGAAACCCTTCTCTATTAGAACCTCTTCAAAGCAAGAGTTCCAACAGCGCGGTGCTTGTTTAAGGCCGTAGAGACTTCTATTTAAACGACATACTTTTGAAGTGCCGTCACTGAATCCATCTGGCTGCTTTATATA